TTTCTTTGCAAAGAGGTTTCTGACATTGATTACATTCCATTCGATCAGTTGGTGAGCAAATAACTATTTTAAGTAACTAATTTTATTAGTAGTGTATTTATCCAAAAAATGTAAATGTGTGTAGTATACTCATTTGAGTGTTCACTTTTAAGTTGCTCCAGCGAACGTCATTGCCATAGCAAATGTACGTAATTGTGGTAGTAAGTAACTTAATTATACCCACGTGTTTCAGAAAATCTGGAAGACACATGAAATTTCCCTACACGTTTACGGCCAAAATTGCTCAATTTCCTATATTTTTCTATATGAAAAACAATCCTATTTGGATGTATTATCCGTGTGGATGTTTGCTGGGTTGGTATTTATTTTCTTACATTCACGCCGTAGTCAACTCTGATGCGAACAAGAGATCTTGGGCGGAGCAGCAGATGAAAGCCGCTGCAAAAGAACATCATTAATTGATTTACTACATAAATAAATACTGAAATGTTGTAGATTAAATAAAGGTGTTAACGTTTGAATTAAATTTATTAGGTTAAATTCAAGGTGAAATCTAATTAAATTATTAAATGCAGTGTTATGGGCTTTTTCAATTTTATGAGAAACTTATCGAAATATAAAGATAAACCAAGTCCTTTTCGAACATAACATCAGCATTCAAATACCATCATCACACAAACACGCATTTTTTGAAGTTGTTGAAGTGGGAAAAATTGTTTTGCTAGATCCAGGTATTGACTGTTAAATAACAAAAACTTACGGATATTTAGTAAAGAATGTGTTATTTTGTTACACGATAGGATGTACTTTACCCGATAATACTTATAACATCCTGAACACAGTTTTAGGGTCGTATTGTAGAACTTTACTCAATGCTCAAGTCAGGACTTGACTATGATTCAAAGCACTAGAAATCATACTCAAGTCCTTGCCATTAAGGTTGTATTTCCAGTGCTTGAAATCATACTCAAGTCTGCTCAAATCCTGACTTGAGCATTGAGTAGAGTTCTGGAATACGACCCTCAGACTTTTATTATAAAAGTCTAAAACGTTTTATTATAAGAATAAAATAACTACACATAATTTTTATACGCAGATATTTCTCTTGAAGTACTACAGAGAACCTGTGCCTACTAAACCTCTATTGTTCTTAAATTCACGTTTATATCATAACTTGAAAATTGTCCAGCGATTTAACGATATGCCCCGAGCGGTCATATATGCGGGAGCTTTTACATATGAGTTGCTAACAAACTCAGAGCACACATTGGCTTTTTGAATTTTGGACTGTTCTTATCGTAAGCATCACTGCAAGCGTTAGCATACCTAGTAAATTTGTGGCATAGAGTTTGAATTTTAAGTCTGCTAACAGATTGACTGCATGTTTGCAGTTAATGCGTGAAGTCGTAATCAATTTCATGCAGTAGAGGTCTAGAGGCCTTTCCCTAAGGAAAAGTACATACAAAGTACTTAACATAACGTCATTAATTTCAACAACTCGACTGTATTTATTTGTTTTACTTTTTTGTTTCTCTTTTTAGTGATATATTATAATAATAATTATAAATAGTAAACGGAAGGACCCTGGGTCCAAACAAAAATAAAAAGTCTTGTGCTACTAACAGCGACTATGCCATTATATGTATAGGGACTTACGTTAATTTCCCAACTATATGGATAAATTATTATCTTTGGTAAACACTCAATGTTATCTGCCTGCCTAGCTCATTTCCAATAGGTATACTGTAACGTCTGTCCACGGTACTACGACTGTAGGTACTTATGATAATCTTTGACAAAATTCAACACTAAAACAAAACACTATCTTTATACATATAGGCATAAGAGTGCTCAGGAGGTCTACGACGAAATTTCGATCGAAGTTTGGCATGTTTCTTACCACAATTCCATGCGAAATTTTGTTTAATCGAAAATTGACGTTTAGTTTTTCGCTACCTTACTCTAATTCATGAATATCCGTAGAGGATGGAAAAACATAGTCTTAGTTGTTCAGAGTTATTATTTTAAAAGTTTACCACATTTGACTTCGTATCTTCGAATGAAGCGACTCATATAATAATGATCGAACTTCACTTCAAGAAGTTCGTTTAATCTTATACCTATTATATTTCGTCGCTTCATTCTTCAGATACAAACATTAACTAGGTAGATGTTCAGAGATGGCATTTTAAAGTGAAAAGTGTTTGTGGTAATAAAACATTTAAATAATAAGTGGAAAAGTTGTATATAATTATTATAACAACAAAGAAAAAATACTAACATAACATAATTGGGGCCTGTCACTGGTAATCTACATAATTCAAAATAATTTAATTATTTACATTACAGATTGATGGGGCAAAAGTTCCTTCGTCTGCTGCTGGACAGTTATAAAATTTGGCAAACGTCAGTGATGAGTTAGACCAACCTGCGGTCTTTCATATAGTGTCAATACAAACTCTAGCGGAGGCTGCCGCTGAGGTGGAGGCGTGACGTGTGCTGTGTGCACTAAATGCTGATATGTTTATGCCGCTCTCCGCTAGAGTCTGTTTGATCCACCTACTAATAGTTTGTGACGATGTTTGTTTAAATGATTTCCAGTTTGGTGGTCAGAAGGAGATTGTCTGTCCCTTCAGGTGGCAATTCAGCTGTTACAGAAAGATAATCATCAAGAGTTCTTGCTTGGCATATACTTGGGCTTTCTACGAAATAGGGTAAGAATAGTACTGGCTGCTCTCGATTAGCTGCCGAAGTTGTAATCATGTCAGATATTAGATCTTAATGCCTACTGATACCTTAATAAGTGAAAAAGTTTGTACTCGGTGGGAAGTACACAAAGCTAATAAAATTACAATTTTTTTTGCGACTTTATCTAGGTTTAAATCATTATTAGGATACCATTTGGACACGAGAGCTAATACCACTTTTAGATCCAAAGTGGTAGTATATTTTGGTCTGGATGGTTTTTGTCTGTCAATACCTTTTAAAATTCATGTAATTCGTTCGTCTAAGCCTACATTATTCCTGAGGAGTAACGATAGGGCAGACCGATGGCTATTAATGGCGCCATATGACGCTCCTTTATTGAAAAGTTCTACAAGAAAGTTATTATTGATGATACTGAAGCTTCAAAGGTATTTTACGTTATTTTATAGACAAAATTGCCACCGTAACTTATATGAAACGGAATACTGTTGCATTGTATATTCCGAGATGGAAGATAGCATTAGGTCTTAAGCTATGCTTGGGGTGTTTAATCTCGTAAAGGCTGTCCTGAGAGCGCTGCGGCCCCCAGAGTAAGGCTGCAGTGAAGCGAAAGATGTAACCTGTAACGTGAACGTAAAACGTCCCTATTAGGTTTAAAGATAATAATATCTGAAATTAGCATTCTAGTTAGTAGTGGAAACCAAGTCTGTCCAGACCAGTAGGGGAAAACTAGAATGCTAGTCGTTTTGTCATTAATGATTTGTCCTAAGCATATTAATATTAATGAAAACGGTGGAAATGCGTAGAAAAAGGTATACTGCCAATTAACTGCGAAAGCATCAACTGCCATAGCATCGAGATCCCGCTTCCACGAATTATACTGAATACACTTAGCATTAGTGCTAGGTGCGAAAAGGTCGATTTTGGATCGACCCAGAGTTTGAACTATCCATTGGAAAGCCCAATCCGAGAGTTTCGCACTCTGTGTCTATGTTCCGAAAACCATGCAATTTGGCATATACGGGATGAAGCGCGGGAGAAATAACTTGCGACTGGGATAGATGAAGTAGCCATAAGAAACACATCGATAACATTCTTGAACTATACAAAATAAATAAATAAATAATAAATAACGCACACACTCAACATAGCCCCGCACTAGGGAAACCCTGTGTCGCGGGTGCCATGGACACACACATAGACAACCACAAATTACACCCAAACTCACGAGAGAAATAATTGTAGGCCATACAACTATTTCTCCCGGCCCGGGAATCGAACCTGGGACCTCTGCGTGGCAGTCCGGCATGGTAACCGTTCGGCCACGGAGGCACGGAGCAGACAAAACCCCTGAGAATATCCCGCTTTCTTTATCAGATCTCCTGAAAAATCAAGAATGATATCTAATTTTATATTGTTTCGTAAGAAACACTATCGAAGACATTTAATTTTTGTAATGGAATACAGGAAAGAAATTACTCATTCTTGGCTGTATGGCGCATGAGTGCCTCTGCTTTTTCCAATGGAAAAAAGTACCAGAAATAAGGTGTAATGTCAGTGTCAATGTCAACTCTGTTTCTGACAGCTGTCAGATTCTATAAAATTGTAATTTGCGAATTGTGAACGACACAGTTGTTTGTTTTAATCGTTTAATTATTAAATGTTAAAAAATAATACAATAAAATGTATTTAAACTTATTTTCTCTGTAATAATAACAATTCGAATAAAGGCTAGAAAGTGTCAACATGTGGGTAAAGCCTGAAGAAGTGTTCCTTAAAACTGCCTTCTGGTAATTATTTTCTTCTAATCGTTTCTTATCTTTTGTATTGAGTTTTGTTTGTGGTTTTTCATTACGATGCTTTGTGGTGATTTTTAACCATAATATGTGCTACAGGGACAACGATGAAACGTCCCTGTATTTCGTGCTACAGAGACGTAAAGGTCACGGAAAGTCTAAAGGACTCTCGTCTCTTTTAGTGGGTACTTTGGATAGTGTTAGAGATACTAAGCCACCGCCTTACAGGATACTACATCAGACACCCAATTCGGAGGTGTATTATGGTGAGAGCCATCTCATTTTTATTTTAAACTTTTTTCAAACTGCGTTTGGAGTTTTATTGCTGTTATGAGTGTGTTGGTATTTCGCAGTAATTGCAACAGCTTTGACCGAAAATGAAATCCGTCAAGACTGGCAGTGGCTGTTTGAGAATGTGTGCCCGACTTTGCATTCATTTGACAAAGAGGAGGAGGTGACAGAATTTGTGTGCTGTAAGATAAACTCAGTCATTGCCACAAAACAAGATAACATTACTGAAGGTATCTCATTACATTGCTATGTATGTCCATTACGTATATCATGTTTTATTCAACCAAGTTCATAGAGTATTTCTTTCTATGTAATAAGTTTCACTGTTTTATTATTGCCAGAAATAAGCGTTACATAATATTAAATAAGAATTAATAATTAATGATAATAATAAATATATGTGTGCAATATTGGAATCTGCAGATTGTTGCTCAGATCTCACTTTTGTTTCTAAGGAAAATAAATTAACTGGCTTCAGAAATTAAGTAGATATTGTTGTGCAACTACACTTACACTTTTGTAAATAAAATTTGACTTACCTAAATAAATAAATCCTTGTTTTAGATGAAGACACAGTCACATATAAAAATGTTGACTATGAGTTCCATCAAAGATTTGGTATGCCAGACGATGAGAAACTGGTGTGTTACTACTCTTGCAGGTAAATTAAGGGAACAATTGTATTTTGTTAAATTGCAGAGAATGATAGATAGATAGATAGAAAATTCTTCATTGTTAGCACCACATACATAGAGAGATTACAGAACAAAAATTAAACACATTAGCATGGTAACAATGGGCGGTTCTTCTAGACAACCTTTGGAAGGAGAGAGACTAAATATGAATAAAAGCAGGGGTGCTAGATATAAACATTTACTATGGCTGTACAATATTAGTTTAAAGAAGATTTATATTGTCTTCCTTATTGGGAGTGAACTTTCATTACGGCAAGGGTAAATTTTCAAATTGCGTTTTCTCTATTTCACAATTTTGAGTCACAACAAATACATTTCCAAAATGTATTTCCAAAGTGACGGGTAGGACATCTTGACTCCTTTTTTCTTGAACTTTAAGTAATTTCTCCCTAACCATTGGTTAATTACACTTAAAATGAAAATATCATGAAGCCAGATATGCATTCAACTGTGACTATTTATTTACATAAATTTATGACATTATTTATACTCAAAACTTTTAATTGTCTAAGTGTGACAGGTGTGACATTCACGACACTCGCCTGTTTGAGTTGATGGCATCATTGCCAAGATCAAGACGAAACTATTAATATTTTGTTCAGCAAGTTTTTCATATGAGATAACTTGAATGTTAAAGTTCTATTTTATATATACACTTAATTAATAACTTTGATAAATTTTAAGGAAATTAAAATATTAAGTTATGATGGGTGGGACATGATTTTGTGAAGGGTGGGACGAGTTACAATTGAATACACCGAATGAATAAAATTACACTGTTCAATATGAGATCCATTGTTAGTAAGCAAATATTTTATAATTTTTGTCTTATTAACTATTTAATTAATTTAAGTAAAAATAATTCAAGAACCGATAAAGTAATCCTATTATTTTTCTTGAAACACTGTCTGTGAGGACATGAAATCAAAGTCACGCATGTAAAATGCGTTAATAAATTTGAAAAATCTTGTCGCGTCCTTGAAGATAATGTATCATATCAAAATATATCAAATTTTAGAAGTTTTGCTCGAATACATAGTTAAAACTAGTACATTTCAACATAAAAAAAAATAATTAAAGAACTCATAAAGTAATCCTATTATTTTTCTTGAAACACTGTCTATGAAGACATGAAATCAAAGTCACGCATGTAAAATGCGTTAATAAATTTGAAAAATCCTGCCGCGTCCTTGAAGATAATGTATCATATCAAAATATATCAAATTTTAGAAGTTTTGCTCGAATACATAGTTAAAACTAGTGGAGACAGACTTCATGAATTTCCTGATACTATAAATCATCAGGAAAAATGTTGTCACTTTTTAATTGTTTTTTTTTATGTGTTAATATGTCGTAATTAGAATTATAAAAAGTTTGCTTATAATTGATGAATCTACATATAAACAGTGTATTTGTTTTAATTCTGTGTATTTAAATGTAACTTGTCCCACCTATCACAAAATGGCGTCCCAATTGTCACAATTTAACACATCAAATTTTAAACTCTGAAATTAAAGTAACTGTTATACCTAGTAAACATCGTAAAAACTCGAATCCATGAAAATACAAACATTTATTCAAAGTAAAAACGTTTAGAAATGTGTCCCACCCATCGCTGTGATGGGTGGGACACACTTTCAAATCTTAATATTTACATTACCTACTATTTATGTGCACAATGCACAACAAAGCCAAAATAATGACCCTTAGCATAATTGTTACTTTTACAAAAGCAAATGCCAATAGATTGCATATTTATTGGTTAAAATAAAAAAAATATATGTTTAATTGTGACGGGTGGGACTTGAAATTAGTACTTATTGAAACTTTAATAACTCCTCACCATATATATTTCCATGCAATCACTTATCACTGTTTTAAAATTCGTAAATTGTATTTTCTTCGACAGTAATAACTTTTTAGAAAGACGCAGAAATAACCGCGAAAATTATTGCTAAAAAAAATGCTTCACTATAGACTACTGCACTGTGGCTGCGTTTATGAAGACAAAAAATTCAATCATTATTCAATTTTACATTATTATTTTTAATGATTAGATTTATTGGGCGTATTCTAGTCATAAAATTAAAATCAAATTGTGTAATTTATATTTTTGAACCGCAGTGTCATTTTCGCTAGAATGGCCCATTTATAGACGAACCATAAGCGCCCAGTTACACGAGAAGAAAGTTTTCGGGCAACCGCCTAGTTACCACGCCTTCATGTACATTAATGGCGAATCTGAATTCTATTTGTTATGCAACAACATTTAAATTCCTTTCAATAAAATTACCGCGCCGCGTAGACCAAATTTAAGCCAGCCCGCGTGCCCGGAACGCTCATTCAAATTGAAACGTAACTGCTAAACAATAAGAGCATATTTTGCCATGACAGTTTGACGCACGTGGTCGCTGCGCGGCGCGCGGCGGCGGCGCCGTGTGAATTCGTGTCGTATAAATGCGCCCTAATAATAATTTATATTTATGTTTAGTATTAATAATATAATTAATTTAATATTTAATATTTGTATTAAATGTATTTCGCACATGATACCAAATATTGTTGTGACTGAAAATTGTGGAATAGAGAAAACACAATTTGAAAAAAAATACTGTGAGCAACTCTGTGCCTTACAGTACCCTTACAGTAATGAAAGTTCACTCCCAATAAGGAAAACAATATAAATTTTCCTTAAACTAATATTGTACAGCCATATGATTACTTTATTTACATTTTTGTCATGCTACTAAATTGTGGTACTTTCAATAAAACTGATTGCTTTGTTCAGGTTATTGATGTAAGAAAAGTTGTTAAAGGAATCTTAGAATAACTGACCTATTTTAAAATTACCTTAACTATTGAACAGGAAATTTATTATCTTCTAAAACATGTAGGTTTTATATTTGTCTGCAATGTGCTACACTGGGTAGTACAAGGAGACAATGATATATCAAATGAAGTTCAGCACTGACAACGTTTGGACAAGGCAATGTTAAATTTTGTTATAAATATAACTACTGCTGCTTATTCTGCTTATTGGTGCATATAGAGTTTGTATATTATTTACTACATTTGTCTTTTTTCAGTTATTGGAAAAGCAAAATGCCACGTCAAGGATGGATGTACCTGTCAGTGCACTATATGTGTTTCTATTCATTCATATTTGGGCGCAAGACTTTGTTAAAAATCCGATGGGCTGATGTCACTGAATTGGCTAAAATCAACAGTTATTTGTTCCCTGATTCAATCAAAATTGTTACACGAGATGATGAACATTATTTCACACTGTTTTTAAGGAAAAATGAGACATTTGCTCTGATGCAGCAGTTGGCAAACATAGCTATGAGGCAGTAAGATTATTTTTAATTTTTATTTTGCAATCTAAGTTTTCGATACTCACAATAATAAATGCATATATTTTTTCGTACAGGAAATAAAGTTACTACATCATGATAAATATGGTGATATATAATAAAATTAGGTATTTTTTAATAATGTTTTCTTTTTATAGTCCACTTTCAAATTGTTTATTCTATAAAATATTGATAAATTTGTTTTTAAAACAGCAAATTTCGAAATGCTCTAAAAGAGCTTCAGAACCATGTATCTTTGAGTGTGGAGCAATTATTTTTAGTTAATAAATATGTTTCCTGATGCATTTTCACATACTATTGTTGGTATTTATTTTGAGTACTGGAGTCTAAAATGAAAAATATGTGAAATTATAATAAATATTGTAAATAGATCTAATTTTTTTTATGTGGGGGCCTAATCAAGGACAAACGAAAATCCATTGTTTATAATAAAATATAATCTTTTTAAATGTAGAGACATTGCCATATTATGTATACTATTAAATATTTTTGTTTGAACTGTGACATTCATTTTGTCAAGCTCAAATGTTCTCAATGCTAACTTTACAAGAGGTGATAGAGGCTAATTTACATTACAGTTATATTTATATATATTACGTTTATGTTGAAATTATACAAGTTTTTGTACGTTTTCCTGTAAATGGCCAATGTATTCTTAATACGTGATGCTTTTTTCGGAATCAATGTTGAATTGTTATGTGCTATTATTGTTTACAAACAATGGAGTATTATTTTTCATGCATTTCTTCACGTTTTAAGGTTAATAAATGACAAGTCAGCGTCTTTCAACATTGACAAAGACTTACTAACAAAACTCAGTAAAAATGTACCAAAGAAACCATCATTCCTTAAGAGAGATTTAGATGCCAGAAAACAATCGAATCTGTACACTTTGAAGTTCCGTCTACCACAGACTGAGAAACTGGATGGCTCAGAAGAATGCACGTTATGGACTCCATATAACAAGCGATATAATTGGGGGCGACTATATTTATCGCAGAATTTCATCTGTTTCGATAGTCGAGTAAGTAAATATTGTATTTAGAACATAAATTAGTAATTTATAACTATTCACGCTTTATAGTTTCCGTTAAAATGACGCTTATGTGTGCCAGATTTCAGAGGTGTAATTTTCATACGAGCTTCAATATGCGTCACTCATAAAGATAACATAGTTGTGGAAATATAGGAAGAATGTATATATACAGTGTTTATAAGTGATGTAACTTGTTTATTATTACACTTTATCTAGTAGGAGTTTTTATCAAGTTACGACTTATTATGTATTTGCTTACACAAATGTTGATACAACAGTATGTGTTACTGATAATTTACAATGCCTTGTGAGTCACATCATGATAATTCTTACAAAATATCTTCTCTTCCGATCTGGTTTAAATCTTATTTATATTTTTAGTCTGAAATCGATAATAGTACGGTACGTCGATGATTTTGGTGTATAGCAGAAGCAATATTTATCTGTTGTACTGTGTTTATTATATTATATTTGTATCTCATTTTATATTATCTAGACTATTGGATTGAGTCAAAGGGCAAAGTTGAAATTAGACATAACGACTTGCAGAGGTCATCACGTATTTAAACTCAAATAAAAAGAAACCATTAATAAAATCATCGAACGTGTAGCACGACTGTCGGGCGAAATTAAACCTTAGATTCGTCTGTAAACGAGTTTCTTCACTAATCAGGCCCTGTGCTCTCGTTCTTCGTTCGACATCCGTCCGAAGCAATTACTGTGAAATAAGTAATACTCGACAAAATTAAAAGACACTTGATGCGAATGAAGCGTTATACTTGACATTGTCAACAACAATGACAACGAGAGTAGACCCCATGATTTGACATTTGATAATTTCCGGTCTCATGTCAATATCAAATAAATCCTTGGTTTAGTATACACATTTGTCCACTCATCCGAAGAACAAAGTTCGATGTGATTATAAAGCGAAAAGAGTATAAATACATAATTTCGTTATCCAAACTAAGGCCTGTGTAAAGGTGTTTTGAGAATTTTTAAACATATATTGTTTCGTTTCGGAAATATAAAATCGAACAACAGTCGATCTGACATCCACAGCGAAGAACGAACGAAATGTACTATGTCCTGAGAACAATTAGTCTTGCACATAGATCTTTGTTCTACGGATGAGTCGATATGTGAGTCGATTTGTATGATTTCAATAAACTGACTATAATCGCTGCTCAGTATCTGAGCTAAAGTAGTCGAAAAACGCTCTTACGTCACTCTAACCCGGTTCATATAAACATAATTTTGTTAAAGGTACGCAACTTAGTTCGACTTATCATTCCACTAAGAAATGTACATCAAGTGGAGCGAGCGGATTCTACCGGAACAGGTAGCTCTGGAGACTCGGGAAGTATCCTCATCACCACCGCCCATCACACCAGTTTCCTATTCGGGAACATTTCCGATAGAGATTTCCTCGTCAACAAGATCTCAGAACTTCTTGCTAAACTACCTAAGTTAGTACAGTTATTGCCTACGAATGTTTACAATGTAGAAAAGTAACACGGGATTGTGTGTACTTACTGCATGTTGGACTCGTTAGCCATTCATTTAAGAATGCAAAATTTTTGGTATGTTGTACTTGGGATTCTTTCGAACGATTAATTTTATATTGTGTTTTCATTCTTTAACTTCAGATTTCAGTTTCTATGGGCATACTAACAGTCGCCGCAGGGGTACAAAAGGGAGCAATGCTAGGTCCACATTTGTATAAATTACTTAATGCGTGAATGATCAGTGATGTATACAGGGAAAAGCCGACGCGAGTGGCGGCGCAGGATGACGAGGACGTTGTATGGACAGCGCAGCCCCCTCTTATGACCTTGTTCAAGACACATCAAACCTACCCTATCAAACAAAGTCAAACGAAAAAAGTAAGACCTTCGATAGTCTGTTAAGTAGTAAAAGTCCTTGCTCGTTAAAAGTCTAATGCATTGGATGTTTTACAGGAGATACAATGGGAGGATCATATGTCGGAAGTAGGACGTGGAGTTAGCATGTACCAAACAACAGCGGGAAGCGAACTAGTAGTTAACGGCATTCCAGAATCCCTTCGTGGTGAACTGTGGAGCGTTTTCTCCGGCTCAATATTGCAGAAGGTCCAAAACAAAGGCTTATATGAAAAGCTGGTTAAGAAAGCGTTGTCATCTAAAAACCAAGCAAATGATGAGATAGAAAGGGATCTTCATCGATCGTTACCAGAGCATCCTGCATTCCAAGATGACGTTGGTAAGCATATAAATCACAGAACAATAAATACGGTAGAAGTGGTTAGTTAGCGTACCACGCGTGCCAACTGTAGGCGTAGTTCTTCCTACTAGAGCTTAGCCGCAATTTTCACTTTGTACGTTATAGCTGTGTTAATTCTTTCGTGCAAATTCGCTAAAATTGTAGAAAAATGCCTTGCCTAACCTTGTGTTGTTTTGGAGTACAAAAATGATAGCTGCACCAAAAATATTACCAATAAAAGGTAATATTTATAGTCCACGTATTTTAATAAATCTTAAATATTCTGTTTATCGAATAAAGTTTTTGTGCTGTAACAAATGAAAGTAAACATTATCCTAGTGCAATATAAAGTGAACATCTCGAATTTTCCATGCCAGTAGCAAACAAAAGCTTAGCGAAAAATGCTTCATGAGTGTTTTGTTAATTTTAAACTTAATTGATCGAAATAGAGTTCATTATGCAATATGTGCGTTAAAGAAGACATCTGTTGTCAAGAAGGCACTGCATTCTATTCGTTCAGATGTTAGTCGTTCATCGTAGCCACGGAAGCGGTAGTACTCGTAGTTCAGCTTAGTAATTCAAATTTATATTCCAGGCATTTCAGCTCTTCGCCGTGTACTGTGCGCCTACGCACTTAAAAACCCCACAATCGGGTATTGTCAAGCAATGAATATCGTGGCCTCCGTTCTGCTCATATACTGCCCTGAGGAACAAGCGTTTTGGCTACTTGCCACTATTTGCGAGACTTTGCTACCCGATTACTATGACACAAGAGTTGTTGGAGCTTTGGTGAGTTTCCTATTTTAATAATAATAACGGTAGAAGAGTTTGTTAAAAATAAATACGCTCGAGTATTATGCCGCTGGTCTTATATGGTTGCATATTTTAATTGCGATGAGAAATGCTGGAAGATTTTTGCCAAAGACGCACGGGACGTTGCAACAAGTAAAATTAATTAAACTTCATGCAGCTCATTCAGTCAAAATCAGTATGTATGGAAATATGTGAATAAATTATGTAAATCAACTTTGTCTATCCCGTAAGCCGCAATTGGTGATATGATTTCGACAACTCGACAATGTAGCATCTATTTTGCATATGGTAGTCCTTTTTTTTGCATAGGTAGTTCTCCTCCATGCACGCTCTACTGATGTTTGTGATACCTAAAGTAAAAAGGTGTTTCTTTTATGGACCATGACCCGTTAAAGCTGCACTTTCAATGGTTTTTAGACAAATTTAAATTAAAAACATACTTACGGTCTAGGAGGCAAGGTTGATTGTTATTAAATGTTCAGATACTTTTTAACACTTTGTGCGCACTGTTTGTATTGATGTTGAATATTTGGTTAGGCGAGTAATGCATAGAATAGACAGATAATCCTTCCACTAGATTATTATTATATATAACTTATTAAAACGAAATACTTAGTAGCCACGTTGAGGCAACAGGCGCTGGTTCGTGTCTAGTTAGGTCGCAGGAATGTTTCCTTGTGTTTGGGTGTTGCAAGTAAATAATAGTATCACTTGGAGCCTGACAGGGTATAGCAAATTGTGCTTAAATCTAGTTTGTGTTAATTATCTTGTAACATTAATTTCCACCATAAAAAGGTATGTTTGAATTAGGTACTAAATATAAATATAGGCTTATACATCGCACGTCTAATGCAAGAATGGCTTAAGTGGAGACATGTCAAAAATTTTAACTGCTCCATTACGTAAAGAAAAATATAACCCACATTCTCTCCAATTCTTGAAACTCTATCGACTAATATTGGAGAGGACGTGGGTTATAGTTTTCTGTATCTAATGGAGCAATTAATATTTTTGTAACCCCACTTATGCCATGAGGGGTGCGACGGTGATTTTATCTTTGTGTCCATAATAATAATAAACAAGTAGATCATGTACATCATGATATTCAATAAAAATAAAATAACGAAATATTTAACAATTTTTAGGTTGACCAAGGCGTACTAGAAGAGTTAACAGAACAGCACCTGCCAGAGCTTCACGCGAAACTCGACGAGCTAGGCATGATGAAGATGATCTCTCTTTCGTGGTTCCTTACATTGTTCATCAGTGTGATGCCTTACGAATGCGCTGTTAACGTCATGGACTGTTTCTTCTACGATGGCGCTAAAGTTATATTTCAGGTGTGTAAAATAAAACTAATGTTGAGTATGTTAAAAGTTTTATTTAGCATTAGCGTTTTAAACATATTTATAAAAATGTTAATAACATGTCTAAAGGTACGGTTTATTTATAGATTGTAATAATACTTAATTCATAATTCATTCAACTGTGAAAACGCAGGTTGTATAGAGGTTAACATGTACAAAATAAGTGTAGTTTCATAACTTCAAGCACTTCAATAGACTAAGGCTGTTTCCTAATTTTCGGTGCAGGTAGTGGTGCGGCATCGGTACGCTTGGTATACGAAGTATATTGGCGCGGTTTGGATTGGAGCGGGAAGGGTTAGGTTCGGTTTATGGTATACCGCGCCAATCAGGAAGCGCTCATTGAAATATAAGCGCCTTTAAGCTTTCGGTACTGCGTATACCGACCGTACCGTACATACCGCACCGCCACCACACCGACAAGTCAAGAACTGTCCTAAACCAGGTGTATTTAAAAAAAAATAATATCATACACACACACACATGGATTTAATAAGTCAATAATTTAAACGCGGTTATAGTCACTTTTTAATCAATACAAATATGATATGTTTCTTCATCTAGTTACAAAAACTCAGTAATATTCAGATGCATTTTAACTGTATTTGTAGCATTTATGTTTCTGTCATGAGAAGGAAAACCATACCGAAAAAGTATAAAAATTCATATTTTAATTTAAAAGATAATTTAATTTTAAAGCAATAATAAATTCAAATCATTACTAATACAAATTGATTTCGTCGTTTTGTTTAAGTGATATTTTATTCGAGTAAATATTTTACAGGGAACTGTACACGTTTTTACGATAAGATTCCAGAGCATATATTAAAATGATCATTTCGTAAGTTTAAAACTTACATTAAAAGTATTTTAATTGAAAAGTCATATTACAAAATTGAAGACTATGTGTTAAATAAAGATGTATTGAAAAACGACATGGCCCTAGATTCCACACAAATTTTATTCAAAGTGTATTTTAAATTTTATTCCAAAGAATTTAATTTTATTTGAAAATAGCCTAGAGTTTCTTGCTCGTTCTTCTCAGGGTTATTAGCACAGTGAATGAGCAGTAGCCGAAAACATGACGTTTTTAAGTGTAAATTTATTTTACCTATGGAATAAACGACTCATTTTAACTTTGAGTCCCTGAATTCCAGGTGACCCTAACGATCCTGGACATCAACCGCGACAAGCTGCTCAAGTGCACAGAGGATGGGCAAGCTATGCAGGTGTTTACCGAATACTTGGAAGGCATCTATAACGATGAAGCCATGGCTTTGTCTACGGAACCGCGGACTGCAAAAAGGGTAAGTTGTGGCATACGTGTCTTAATACTTTATTACACTTAGGTAGTAAATTCTTTTCTGTCAGCTTCGTCAGCGCTGTTGATAACAATAGACCTAGAGATAGAATAAACCTGATAACGATTATCTTGTTAAATATACCTTGATTTTGATATTTATAAAATTATTTGGAACAACAAAATGAAATGTCGTGTCATGTGACGTGTCCGAAGTGTCAAATATCAATATCAAACGTTTTTTTCATGCAGTTATTTTCCCACCCTCCTCCGCATCAAATAAATACACTAATAATTACAATTTTTTTATAAAAACACCGATTGGAAAGTGTTTTTAATTTTTAGTCATAAATTAAAGAGACTATACATGAGTGGTCAGGGAAAGCTGTACTATCACTAACAACCCTAGTTGCCTACCTAACAGCCTAGCCCTAACCATACGCTACGGAATATATACTTATATAAATAGTAGGGGAAGCCCGTCACCGTGCGACCTAAGGCAACAGACGGAAAGGGGGAAGGATAAGGGGGCTTTAGGAAATGGTTTTCTCACTGCCAGTCTCACAGACTCACAAGACTGATCAGATAAGCTAACGGCTAAAGGTGTCTTGGCCGCAGTGAGAGGATGCTGTAGTCAGGAGTGCTCCGTTGTCAATAAGACAGCGTTGATGTCTGAATTCAAAGAGAGTTTTATTTACAAAACTTAAGCTATTTATACAAAACGGTAATATAAGGAGAGGGTTTAGGCAGTACTCCACCACACTGACCAAATACGGATTGATGCCGATGACACTGAAGGGCTATGTAATCTTATTTAGTTTATTTATTTATTTATTGATAAATAAATATTATTTATTTATTGATCTTCCTGTGTTCAAGGTTTCGATAAAACGTTTTCCTTCACCGTACAAGCCCTCTAATGGGTCAGACAGGAAATCCCACATAGTAACCTAGCATTTTTCCAACTATCATAACACACACAACAATATAATACAATAAATGGATTAAAATATAAACACAGGGATTATAAATTAGATATGGAAAAAAAACAATAATAATAGCCAACAACGATCAACAGCTTGTATGTGTTGTAGCAAGACAAATAGGTGGTAGCTCAATGAGGAATTTTCATTGGAATATTACGGTTCGGTATGCAGTATCTTATTGACTGTGTGTGTTCTACCGTCTTGTACATCTAAAATTTTTACTTCGGTTCACAACGCGAACTAAGCTAACCGAGCTAACTAAACTAACTCAACGATCCGGCTAGCTATGTAAAATATCTATGTAAAATGTCGCCCTTCTACTGCCCTTCACCCCCGCACTTATCCATATTCACTACGTACTACGTATTTTCTTAGTTTAACTTAGCATGTAACTATGTGAGCTAAGGTATGTTAGCTGGCTTCGTTCGCGGTGTGGATTGCGCTATATTCGGTTCTATTGTTCCAGACAATAAAAATCCAAGACCTAATTTACAAGTCGTACCGGACGTTCGGGCAGAACGTCAGCAGTGAACACATCGAGCATTTACGGCTGAAGCATAGGTTACGCGTCGTACGACAGCTGGAGGACAGCCTCGAAAGGAATACATTGCGTGCGTTGCAGCAGGACCGCTTGCTCGACGCTACTGAGTTACAGGTACTCTATCCTTAATTGTATTTTAAAACCCTATGTAATAATATGTCATCCTGATATATGACGTGCCTGTTATAAAGTCTTTCATTCGGGTGCTGATCGAATAGTCTCGTGAAATTACAGGCACATGGGACTTGTCAATTTAATGTCTAAATGTGACCCGTTATGGACGGGCGTGTCGCGAGCTGATTTTTTCCCGCGATTTAGTAAAAGGCTTTGTTAATACAAGAAAGTGCAAATTGGTCCTGCATCTCACCTGATGGGAAGTGACGTTGAGTCGACGACGTAGCATGCACACCTAAATAATGCCTATTCACTTGTGGCAGACCACCAACTCTACCTGAAAAAGAACTTAAAACTAATTAGTACTTAATCTAACACTAAAACTAAATATTGTAATAATTACATAACTTATACTGTATACTCATACATATAAATACTTTATTTACATCTAACAAATAAAATAAATAGTAATAAAAACGAAGTAATTGTAATTAAAATTAAAACTAAATTGTTTAAAAATATTAATGTAAATTTCAACTTACCTCTCGATTCATGTTAACCCACGCTATTGTTTCGCGTAAGCCGGCTGGACACAATGTATTCCTGCGCATCGGCAGCCAGTCGCTCATAAGATCTTTGAAGTGAGTCCCGCGTCGCCGTTTGTTTGCCGTTGTACCTACCGGCTTCCGCTAATTGCGCTGTATTTAACAAATAGTGTCATAGACGTACGTTTACCAATAAACCGCTTAAATTGTGTAGTGTCGACTATTTATTGGTACCTGTCAACTGAAAACGCTACACACTCTTACTTGAAAAGGCCCAAGTTATAACGGTCGGAGAATAAGTCTGCAGGCAGGGAATTCCACTCCTTAGCCCTTAAGTTATTTGTTTCTATAAATACAATCGCCTCTTAACCCTGTCTAAAAATTCAATATATTGAGGTAATGCTGATTTCGGTGCTTGATGGTTCTAGGAACTACTAAGCATCATCCGCGAGGAGTTGCTATGGGCGAAACGAGTGCCTTGCGAGCGTCTAGAAGCTCCTTACGAAGCGTACCGGCTTGACTACACACAATTCAAGACGCTATATACAGCCTTATCGCCCTGGGCTAAGGGTGATTTTGCTGAGGCCATCGCCGCTAGAATGTTCAAGGTACTATATTTAAATGACAGTCTGTCTTTTTTGAAGATGGAGTGAAATGACAATTCGTTGCGCAAAAGTATTGCCTGGGTCCAGATTTTGATTGCCTCTCTCGATCGGAAACTGCGTCTTTTCCGAGTCGAGGCGTATAATATATAATATAAGCAGCTAGTGATTGAAGTCGATAAAATATTCTATCGACTATCGACTGAATGTTGGTCACGCTTATGCAATAAATGGTCGAACTTGTTTCATTTTAATCATCATCAGCCCATTATCCATCCAACTGCTGAGCATAGGTTCATTTGCGTTCCTAATTTTTGTAAGTTTATACATACATACATTGCATTTAAACTATGCCTAAAAATACAAAGAGGAGGAATGTTTTAAAGTTTTTCGTTTTAATTGAATATAGGTAATGAAATCCGCCAGTTCTTGTTAAAATGTATATGAATAAAAATTTATTTTGATACTAGTAAGCCCACTGACAAAATAAATATGAAAAAGGCAATAACGCAATTAGTAATTATTAGAACGTCGCAACATTCACAATTCTGTCATTTTTGGCAAAATTCTACCTTTCACAATCTGTCGATAAAATTGTCGACAACAACAACACGCTATTTAAAATTTATGGAAACTGACAACCCTGCAAATGTCGTTTTACTCCGTCTTCGAAAAAGACTATAGTAATGTAAATCAATTGTCGTCGACATTATATGAGATAAACTAAGTTATTAATTAAAGTTGTTTTCGATGTTGTAAAATGATTGCAGTTAATGGACAATGACGACGACGGCTACGTGAGCGCGCGCGGCCTGAGTCTCGCTCTTGGCTTGAGTGTGCGCGCCGACGCGCAGCGTAGACTGCGCGTCTTGTACTGTGCGCATGCGCCGCCCTTACTGTCACACCACGAGCTACGCCCCACCAACTTTACCGACACCGGAGAAGAGTTGGCCACAGATGCCTTTTCTTTCTTTGACAGGTACTGGCATTCCTTCATTAGGCCCACTCATGTATAAAAAAGCAATAGTAAAATTTAAATACTGTAATAATTTGCGACGTATAAAGGTTCAAGTAATATAACAGTGGATAATATCTAACGCGACCATTATATTTTGCGCCTGAACGCCTGTGAATTTATAATTGTTTTAAAGGTAAAACACATGTTTATGATAGTTACGAAATGTTTAATGATTTAAAAAAAATTGAAAGACTAAAAATGTTTAATGATCAAAAATTTAAAAAAGAACTAGTCTTGTGTGGTTTGGTGGGCAGGTTTTATTTTTTGGTCTCGACCATTTAAAAAAAAAACCTGTTTCGTCAAAGCGGACATTGTTAAATATATTCGGGACAGCGGGCCACAAAGCTTAAAACCAGGTCGTATGGTTACGTAAATTTTCCTCCCTCTCTAATCCCGGAATGATAGAAAATACAAGGCAAAAATCAAAATAAAATAGTAATTATCATATTTTTAGATAAACTACCGTAATAAAGTAGTATTAAAAAAATAGAACACAATACAATTGTTGGGACTCGTACCCAAAGTATGTAATGTAGAATGTTAGTAAGAATGTACGTTTGATGGGAATTATATGTTTCCCTGAGTACACCATTCGGTTGAGGTAGGTTGATGTAAAATTCGAAGTTCTATATACTAAAAAATATACGTAATTGTACATAAAATGTAAGCGCGACAATGCGTGCGATCAGCAACGTATTTAGGTTAACTTACGACATATCTAATATACTGCTTCTACAACAATACTTCCTTGAAGTTTGCTTATTCCTATTTTGGTCATAATGTACTGGAAAAGTGACATATTCCAATTTTTATTTTATTTGCAATATTTATTGTGTTTAATATCATTATGTTTTTACCACCACGACATTTATATATTATTTGTGAAAATGCTCCACTACTTTATAGTAACTATTGATAAAAAAAATCGAACAAACACAAAGAATTCCTCGCCAAACCGGGACGAACATGTCGTGAGCCTGGTGGTAACTGACACGCCTGTCCACAACAGTTGCAGGGCCACGCAGAGCTTTAAGCGCTACCTGTAATTTCAGTAGCACCCTTACCCTTCAAAACCGAAACGCGCTTGGATACACTAGGGAACAAAATGTCCCCCAACCCAATGCGCAACAGTGAATCTACGTGTCTTTGCAACGTCGCCCAGTGTCCCGCAATATGTCGCGCAGCATTTTGCGACGCATTTACGTGACGCCGAATATGTCGCGTGTCAGTGTCAATTGTTGCCGAGTGTAGTCGTGTGCGCAACGTGACCCCCAACATGTCTGTAGTGTGGGGAAACGAAACCGTGCTACTAGTTATTGAACTTTATTAAGGTGTGTCCAAACACGGCGTGCAAGGTGCGCGGCAGCTACGCGCGGCATTCGCGGGACACAAGTTTGTCGACAGGTAGCTCGCGGCTGCCGCGCGCGGCAGTCGTCCAATCATAGCGCGGCAAGCCGCGCGCTGCAGCCGCGCTCGAATGCCGCTTTATGTTTGGACACACCTTTAGAATCATGATTTGTTGTGGGACACGGCAGATTGTGTTATCGTAATAAAATAAAGAAAAATGATGCATGAGAGGATATTGCCCAGGCGCCAAATTGTCTAGGAACGTACAAAAGTGACAGTACTTCCCTGGACGAACTCTGTCACAAGGAGCTGTACTGCTACTTAAACTAAGCTGCGAAACGAGTCAGCAGACTTTGGGAATTTCTCTATGTGCTTGTTGCAGATCTTTGTTTTTGATTTTATTAGTTTTTTTTTGCCATAGCATCTGTGAGAAACCTATGAAAGATTTTCTTAATTTATAATTCTGTTTGATCTTCAGTATAGAGAACCCGTCTACGCCTGAACCGAGCACACCTGCGGTCAGTTCTGTAAGCGAAATGGGTGACGGCAACCCTCTGGATAAGTACAACGACAGTATCAACAGCCAAGGTTAGCAAAGCGGGGAAAAAACGATATGAAATAATCTAACGAAGTTTATTTTTAACATCCGACGTAAAGTAAAAGTTATGAGGTCGAAGCCCTGTCTGTGTATCTGTCGGTGGCATCGTAGCTCCCAAACAGATGGACTATTCTCAAAGCGTTTTTTTATTATTTCTTAGCTATGTTTGATGAACATCTCGATACCTCCAATGAACACTACGCCAACTTAATTTTTGGATCTGTTCTGTTTTTATTTTGTTTTTCTCGTTTTTTACTTTTTTTTACAAAATTAGTTTTTTTTCAAATTTTGTTTCTGTTTCTTTATTTTTTTTCACAAAATTCGGGGAGCAAATTGTTAGTAAATAAATATGGCTATTTACAAAAATAACAGAAAATGAACAAAAAAATTAAATTGGCGTAATGTTCATTGGAGGTTCTGTTCGGCTCTTTTTGCAATTATTTTAGCGATCAGTCATAAAATGAATATTTATTTTACTTTCACTTGTCCGATCGACTTGAAATTTGTTATACTATTGATATTCGATGACATTCCTATAATGTAATAAGTTTGACCTGATGCTGCAGTCAGGACAGTCTGCAGACTACCCAAGGCCGCAACTACTAACAGTACAATTGTCGTATTTGCGCCCATTTTATTTATTTTATACAATATTATATTAATATAATATACAATAATAAAATAAATGATACTAAAGTACTTTGTCTCGATGTGTTGTTGCCGAGAGTAATATTTGTATGTTCTGCATTTTTAAGTGTTATCTCTTGTTGTGTGTCAAGTAAGTCGCAACTACCTGTTTGGAATTAATCACAGGTTCGGGCACGTGGGAGTCGCAATCAGCAGAGTCCGTCCGCGCCTGCGCGCTGTGCGGTCTGCCGGCGTCGCTGCCGTCGACACCGGGCAGTGCGCCTGCGCCGCCGGCCGGAGCGCCGCCGCTCCCGCGCGACCACTTCCTGCAGCTGTTGGCCGTGCTTCACGACCTCACTCAGCATTCCCCGTCGCTCTATGAAGCTGTCGTCAGAGCTGGTCAGTGTACTGTTTATCTTCTATTACACGCACTATTCATACAATAGTGTGTTGATTAGAAAAAAAAACATTTTTTCCAAAGTCGGTGAAAAACGAACTCATCCGTGAAAGATTATTAAAATGTATGCATAGGTTAATGTTTATTACAGACATCTAAAAAAATCCTACTTGCCAAATATATTTTAAATAAAAGAGAAAACAAATCTGAGCAAAAAAATGAATCTGAAAACAATTTCATATTTTTGAGTGAGGACTGTTTTAATAATAAAAATATTTGTTTTATTTTGATTAAGTAGATATCTTTTTTTTTCATCTTCATAATAAATTGTATCAGATAAATAGTTAGTAAGACACTGAAACCCTTATTGGGTTTATAATATCTCGCGTCTGACAAGTGAATATAAAGGTTATAAGCAGTCTTTACGAAGTATAACTTAAGTTAACATAAACGATCTTATATAAATAGATAGTTAGGTTAAGCATAAATTATTTAATAATTGCATTTAAATTTAAAAACAAGATAGCGAGCGAGAAGGCACTGGTTTTGTTGCATTACGACGGTAGTCGCATTCGCTTTACCTTTACAATAAATAGGTTTCAAAGATGCAAAGGCGGTTGCTTTTATAAAACGATTCAATTTTTTTTAAGATTTTGTTTCTCACAATATTCGAACGATGGTTGTATTGACGTGTAGAGATTAAAATTTTACGTTCGGCAATACTATAAACTTGATTTTTACATATTTTGAGTTACAACACTACTGTAACAGCAGTGCGATATGTGTACCTTCTTTCTATTACTTGAGGTTATAGTCGTTTCCTTCGGTTTTATGAAAGGTTCGTAGAACAGGCGTTAATCGTTATTCTTTCATCATCAACTATGACCACGTCCTTTCAATGATTTTTCTTCACACTTGCTCGTAGATGGTATGATTGCATGGTGGCTAACTTGACTATAATGCCCCAAATAAAACCCAAGGGTCTTTTTTCTTTTCATTACAGCCATGGTCGATAAGGAGCTTATTTTAATTTGTAGCACGACATTCTTCCTCACATAGGTCACTTTTAAGTTCAAGCAAGGAGGTTACTTAAGTGAAAACTTGAAACATTCGCTTAGAATGTTATCTAAACAGAAATTTAATTGGAATTCAGCCACATACTACTTGTATACTTATTATGAAGAATTTATTTTTATTTTATTTTTATTTTAAACACTTTATTGTACCACAAAGTAACTTACAAATTTTCAGAAACAATTTAAATATTTGTGTACAAAGGCGAGCTTATCCCATAAAGAAATTTCTTCCAACTTACCTTTGAAAATCTGAGAGGAAAGTTGGTTTTTGGGGTGGCACTAAAAAATAGATAAGTAAAGAAATGAAATATACTATACTCAATAAATACACAGATAAATTTAATAAATCAAATGTACATACGAATATATATATATTAAGTAATGTTGATACATTAATATATACAAAATAAAACTATAAATAAATATATCAAATGTAAATAAATATTTCAAAAGCTGTTAGAGCTTTGTGGAGTCTGAACAATCCCAAAACTTCAAAAGAGAACCCTTGAAAACCCGAACCGAAGGCGACTGTCTGACCTCGACCGGGAGAAGGTTCCACATACGGGCAGCATTTACTGTGAACGAGTTCGAATATTTTTGGGAACTGTGTTGTGGAAGGACGAGGGACAAATTGGTGCCAGAACGCAGGCGGTCACCCATAGCCTGACGGTATTGAAAACGCTCACGTAGATAGCTAGGTGAAGTGGGATGGAACAGGATTTTATAGAGGAAGCATAAAATGTGAGCATTTCTACGTAAACGAATAGGCAACAACTTCAACTCATCCCTAAACTTGGAAATGTGGTCGTACTTTTTCAATCCAAACACAAATCTGATACATTGATTTTGCAGCCGCTCCAATTTATTAAGAAGGTCCTCCGAAAGATCAAGATAGGAGACGTCACCATAGTCCAGAATAGGAAAAAGAAGAGTGCGTATTAGCATAAATTTGGTAGATAGAGGAAGAAAGTACTGCATCCGCTTGAGGGAATGAAGTGATGCAAAGATTTTACGACTTACATCGGCGACATGCTCCGACCAAGAAAGTGTCTGATCCATTATGATGCCCAAATTTTTAACTGAAGTGGAAAAAGGAATAATGGTGTCATTCAAAACTAAATTAGGCATCACCATAGACTCAAACTTGGAGATGGAATGGCGACTGCCAATAATTATGGCTTGGGACTTTTGTGCATTTAAAAGAAGTCCGTAGTTCTTAACCCATACCGAAACCTTTTGTAGGTCGGAGTTCAATGTGCCGATAGCAGTAACTACATCTTCAAGACGGGCTGCAGTATAGATTGAAGGTCATCGGCATAGAGATGGAAAGAAGACGTGAGTGATGATGTAATTCCACCGATAAAGACCGAAAAAAGTATAGGTGATAAAACCCCACCCTGCGGAACGCCAGCCGTAAGGCTACACCAGTCCGAGTGCATGTCACCGGTCTTTACGAGCTGGGAACGATCAAATAAATACGAACGAAACCAGGATTCGGCTAAGGGAGGTAGATTTAAAGTTCTAAGCACAGCAAGAAGCAAATTAAAATCAACAGTACTGAAAGCACTGCTGAAATCCAATAAAGTGAGGACAGTAACTTTTTTATTTTCTATATTAAGACGAATGTCGTCAGTGATTTTCACCAGAGCAGAAACTGTGCTATGGCCCGCTCGAAAACCAGACTGCAGATGGTTGAAAATATCGTAACGTAGGAGGTGGTTAGTGAGTCGATTATGGACATAGTGCTCAAGGATTTTGGACAATACAGGAAGTATGGAGATAGGGCGGTAATGGGAGAAAGAAGAAGGATTTGATTTTTTAGGTAGAGGAATTACATGGGCTTGTTTCCATACAGTGGGAAACACACACTGGAAAGGGAAAAATTAAGGATATGAGCCAGGATAGGAGCTACTAGGTCCTGTATTGGAGTGATCATATCAAGACTCAAACCGTCATTACCAACAACCTTCGTGGTGACAGACTTAAGTATTTTCAACACATCTGCTGTCGTAACCTTTCCAAAATCAAAAGAGGCTGAAGCAAGACAAGGTGCATTGGCCAGGACAGATAAAGTTCGCGATTTTATGACAGAATCTAAACATACTGGGGAAGATGCAAAGTAGTCGTTCAGCGCGTTAAGATCGACATTGAAGGGTAAGACATGATCAGCTTTACCGATACCCAGTGACTTCAAATATTTCCACATCTTAGTATGCGGACAACTTTCGATAGTGGAGTGAATATGTTTACGCCTGGCGTTCCTACAGAGCTTGTTGCAGCGGTTACGTAACTCGATGTAGGACTCACTATTGATTTTGGTTGGATTCTTCCGCAATCTGATACGTGCTCTGTTGCGCCTCTCCATAACCTCCTTGATATCTGGCGTGAGCCAAGGGGCGGGGAAATGTATGACTCGGACAACTTGAAGTGGAGCATGCTTGTCAAAGATGGAAAGAATTTCTTATAATTGATTTTAATTATTTTCTGTACAAAAAAATAAGCAAATTTTTTATTTACAATCCACCATTGCTGTATGCGTGATTGCTTTTTACAACATTTTAGTTCGAGTTGATTATTGATGAGTTATCTATGGAAGAATTAAAAAAAAAAATCAAAAAGCCCGCCATTTGCCAAATCCATAATTGTTGTGTTGTGAACCATATTTATATTGTATTTATTGTCTCGCAAATGTGATGAAAAACATAGTGCGTATCACGGACAGTAAAAAATACAAAACTCGAGTTATTGAAGTCCTCAGCCTTTGGCTTTGGGGTTCTAATAGATCCTCGTTAGAAAGTTCTTACTTTCCGTCCTTAACACACAATGAATTATTAAAAGCGGTACCAGTAAGAAGCATCTTCAGCTGAAGTATATTGTGTTATTGTGTATAAATCTTCTTCTAAATATATCAAGGAATCAATGTAAAATGAAAATATTCTAATTGTAGGCACCGTGTTATTACAACTGGGCGAACTGCACCGGCGGCCTGAACTCGACCGGGAGATCTCACAGGACAGTCTGTTCCTGGCAGCTGCTGCAAGGCAGCCAGAGGTACGTGTTAAATTTCATACTATTATTACATTGTTTTGATAGTATTTGCACATGGTTGTTCTGTGAAGGCATCGAGTATATAACCAGAAATAGAGACGAAATAAGGGCCATATATTCCTGGTAACACATTAGCGATACAGCTCTTATAAATATCAACTCCCGTTTGCACTGAAATATAGACAGGCCAACTACTGACCTGTGTGTACGTCTCCGTATATTCCAAAAAATATTCTGTATTTATTGTAATAAACATAATATCTCTAATAGTGCCGTGCTGTTCTATTCGGTGGTGTGGGAAAAACAGCAATTGACCCATTGACGACACCCGTCGATTGTTTCGAACTCGGGCTAGCCAATCGGAGCAATGATATGGCAGAAGAGTTTTCAAACAAATAAAATGACATTTCGTCTCTATTTCTGGTTATATACTCGATGTGTGAAGGTAAGACTCACTTCAAATTGTAAAATTTATTAAAAAGAGTAATGCAATATAAACTTTGTCATGTACTAGGTAGGGTTACATTTCTTTTAACAAAAATTAGAACGAAGATGATTCAAGCAGCGCTGAGCTTCGCAGCACGTTATTTGCAATATAAAATAGAACACATTCTGTACTGAATAAATTATATATTTCAAAATAACAGAAAAGCAAAGCGGCGTCTTGTCTTCAGCAGCTTTATTCTTTTATTTTTTTCTATTGAAATAAATATTCACTAACTCTAAAGGTAGAAATGCAATATAGAACTTCGTTTCTCCTGAATAAAATACATAATACTACTTTGAATGCAAAACATTAAATCTGTGGTTCTAGTGAAAAGGGGTACAAGTCAAAAAAGCCAACTTTACAAGGAAACGCGACACTCAATATCATATTAAGCTTTAACTGTTTTTCGAGTCTCCTTGCAAAGTTGGCTTTTTTACTTGTACCCCTTTCCACTAGAGCTACAGAAATGTACTCCGCGCCAAAGACAGCAAAGCCACACCGCGACTGTTTGCCTTTCAAAGAAATACACCTTATACTCAAGAGCTAAGGTTACATTTTGCATTGACCGTGGCGGGACAGAATACCAACGGCACAGGATACGTTACGCCGCACGGCTTTACTTTTCTGGTATTTTGCATTCAAAGAAATTTATGTTTTATTTATTAAATTATAATGTTCTGTAATTATATTTTATTTTGCATATTCTTTTCAATTTTTGTTTAACGAATTATAACCTTAAAATAATAGAAAATAAAGTTTACATTGCATTGCTCATTTGACTGCTGCGATTTAAGGCAACCCTTAAAAAAATTTTTTACAATTCCTTTTGATGCGGGACTCATCCCGCAAAACGTCTCAACGTTTAATTCACCCTTCTTTTCGTTTTGCACCTACGCTTACCACAGCCTAATGGCTTGACCTACCGCCTCTCAAGCACAGGCGGCGGTGGGTTCGAATCAGGCCTCGTACATCTGAGTTTCTGAAAATGTATGTGCGAAATTTAATATGAAATTTACCACGAGCTTTTCGGTAAAGGAAAACATCATGGTGAAACCTGTACGTCGAAGAAGGTTTACAACCCTCGGAAAATGTGTGAAGTCTCCAACCCACATTGGGTCAGCGTGGCCTAAACCGTCGCCGAAAGGGAGACCCGTGCCCAGCAGTGCGACTTATGTTGGTTGACAAATGGGTTGATGATGATCATCCTTTGCACACGTACTTTGATTTTCTATTCAAAGGACTAACTAAGCCCAACGTCCTATGCGCATGTGTGGGGTCCGGCGGCTCTATAAGTACCTATACCCTACTCGTATACGCACTTCTGGAGCTGCCGGTTCGTATTAAAAGATTTGAAGTTTATATCACCTGTTTATGACGTCAGGTGGATCCAAATGGCAATACGACCGAACCTCAAGATGTGGCGAAACCAGCGTCGCCATCAAAGGGTTCGGAGACTGACGGCGTCTGGTCAATCACACTCCAGCAATTCTTAGCTACGATGCTTTCTGAAGCTCCGATTGAAGAGTTCTTCAATGAGAAATCATCTCTCTTGCCGCAATTGGAAGCGCTGAGGCAGCGCGACAGGTTACAATCAGTTTCATAGCTAATAGAGATGGCACAGCTCATCGGTTTTTAAAACAAGCGTTGTATACTTAGCTGAGGACGCAATAGGGTCACTGTGCTTATACTTATTTCTACCGGTCAAACAATTTCAATGTCAAAAGCAATATAGGCCACTGATTGAAGGGCTGGGTCGTTAATAAAATATCTATAGTTTGCCTTTTTTGAAGATGGAGTAAAATGACATTTGCATGGTTTCCAGTTGGCGTACATATTTTAAATAGTCATGTAGTACTTGCCGACACTTTTATCGATAGATTGTGAAAGTAGGTAAAATTTTGCTACGAGTGTCTGAATGTTACAACGTTCTGTGATAATTAATGGCGTTACTGTATTCTTTATTCTTGTTTTGACAGTTGGTCTATTAGTATCAAAAGAAATGTTTAGTCATACAAATTTTAATAACGACAAGCGGATTTGATTCTGTATATTAAATTAAAATGAAAACCTTTAAAATATGTCTCCTATTTGTAGTTTTAATACACGTAATTCTAAATTTTGTGTATGTATCAATGAATTTTCAAAAATCAACAATTCAAATGAACCCGTACCCAGCAGTTAGGTGTATAATAAGCGATGATGAATCAAATTAAACAATTTCGTCTATTTATTTCATAAACGTAACCAATGCAACGTTCAGTCAATAGTCGATTATAATATTTATCGATTGCAACAGTTTTGTGCAATGAACTGTCATTATACTCTCTCATACCTCTTCAAACAGACTATAATCACACCATTGTGACTCCGCTATGTTATTGAGTTATGCTCCTCCGCTGTCGCTGTGAAAGGATCTTTTAGGATAGGAAGAATCTTTTGTTTGGTATCTCTTACCAGCGACTTGCGCAGATTAATCGTGTAAGCAAGCCTTTATTCAGAAACGTATATTTCCAGAACTCTAGCTCAAGCTGTCGCTTGGTCAATGGTACTAACCCTACCATATACACAGTACTATGTAATCGTTAAGCAAGTAACAGATAATTCTTTCAGTCTTGTTGAATTGACCTTGGTATGGTACAGTGTAACAGACAAGTTGCGGTTACCAGAACCGCAAATTGACGTCGCGTCTATCGCGATTGACCTTATAATGCGTTTGTTTCTGCATGTATTACTAACCGATGAGTAATTTGAATTGCCAATTTGAACACTACATGGAAAGATGTAAGGTTACATTTTCAAGAATTTACGTATAGATGCAGCAATTATCTAAATAATCCTTCCTCGCTTAATAAGATTTTGTTGGCTTGTAAATATGTACTTCACTGTTAACAAAAAAATAAAAAAGCAATGTATAATGATTACGTAACTTCGTAAAATAAAGATTAAAAATTGTATTTATAGAACACAAGTATTTTTTTAAATAATTAGCACTGATGAAATGATATTTATTGTAATTCCTCAACTTGGTGAAGGTTTGGTTATCTTTTTAGTCACATCGTTTAAACACATCGATTGCGTCAAAATTGCACATAGTATATTATACTTATTTAACAAGCTTTTTACCCGTGCCTTCCATTGTGATGTTAGCAAGACTCTATATATCGAATCCAACAAATTTCAAAATATGTTCAGCCCTAGAGATGTACTTGAGTTACAGACACGTCTTAATTAATATGAAATTGTTAATGTTCGATCGAACGATTAAAATTATAGGTAGTTAGTTTGTTACGCCTATAGTGTATATTTTTTACGTCATACTGCCTTAAGTTCAATTTACATTGCCGCGGAACAGGTTTGAAGCGAATTCTTGTAACGAAACATAATGAACTTTATGACAATTTACAAACTATAGTTCACTTGACATAGCATGGGTACTGTCGCGTTTGAAATTTGAAGTTTCTAGAGATGTAAAATCTAATGAAAAAAATCGATTTAAATATCTTATCGAGATATTTTGTAAAGAAGAGAGAATCGATTTATAGATTATAGTTTAGAACACTTAGTAAACATAACAAAACGGATTCAATTATTATGTTATTAAGTGACTAAAAAACTACACAAGAAATTAAAAAATCTACAATAAACAAACAAAATACCAAGAACAACACGGTATAAAATCAACAGCAACGAAACGAAATTTGAACAAGGACTCCAAAACGTAAACGTATACACGCGTATTGGCGATTATAATTATACACAATAATCGACTTGATTTATCGATTCTATGGTCTATATCTTTGAATAAATCGTTACCTTAAGTATCATAATATCGAAATTGTCAAGTTTACAGGAGAGCGTTTTAAAGTTTTGAATTCCTGAAATGACCATAACACGTGACTAGCATTTCTATGCTAAAATAAATTGTAAAATGATAAAATAAATTTTGGTTGTTCATCTAACCGATATCTAGGATTTTATTATACTCTGTATGAGTAACGATCTTTGCCGAATAAAACTGAGAAATGCGTCACGAAAAGTCACGTCTTATGCGAATTTCAGTGAATTCAACACTTTAAATCGCTCCTCTATAAACTTGGCAATTTCGACATACGATACTGTACGTATGAGGGGTCGAAATATTCCGTTTTACGCGTCAATTAGTTGGGGTAATTTATTTTTATCTTTGTCATTTCATTTTCTATCTATAGTCTTTTTTGAAAAAAGTAAAATGACATTTGTAGGGTTGCCAGTTTCCATAAAATTTTAAATAGTTATGTAGTTGTAGTCGATAGTTTTATCGATGGATTATGAAAGAAGATAACATTTTGCCAAAAATGACTCAATTCTGAATGTTCCAACGTTCTAATGATTACTAATTGCGTTATTTCCTTCTTTATTCTTATTTTGACAGTTGACCTACTAGTATATTTTTATCATATAATTTTAACACAAATAGCCTGATTTGATTATCTATATTGAATTAAAGTGAAAATAAAGTGTCTCATCTTTGTATATTGTTTTTTCATAAACAGTTCTAAATGCATGGTATATTTAAGTATGAACTTACAAAAATTGATAATTCAAATGAACTTGTGCTCAGTAATTTCGTCGAGGATGATTCAAATGAAACAAGTTCGGATATTTATTCCATAAACGTGACCAATATTTGGTGGATAATCAATAGAATATTTATCGACTACACTGCCTACTCGCAAGTGGGCAACATTTTTGTGCAATGAACTGTCATTTTACTTCGTCTTCAAAAAACGGATTATACTTAATTTTACTTAAAATTACAACTACAGTAAATATTGTTTGTTTTTAATATATTATAACTAATTCACTATTTCTTTTCGAAACCCGGTTGAGAGATTAGTTAAAATAGTATGCATGCAAAGTAAAAATTCGAAATGTCACTATACCCATCCTATGTGAAATAGGAAATCCTCTGGAAGACGCGCGATCTGTTTTTTGGCTCGCATCTAGTTTGTACGTTACACAATTGACTCAAAGTTCATTATACTACAGTTAATAAAATTCACTTCTGTTCCGCGGCAATGTAAACTGAGTTTTAAAAGTAGGTTTATACGTGTGCAATAAAGTCGACGTTATTATTTTTGTATCGCAAAATTGTGTACAGAATGCCTTAAGTGAACGTGTTTTCTAGTGCATAAAATTGTCATAGTAAATGACAAAAGCGTGTATAATATGCGATAGGCTTGCATTCCACGATAAAATTATTATAACTTAGGTTTGAATACAATTTGTGAAATATACATAGCATTTATTATACGCGGAGCCATATTAGTTGTTAAGTCTTGTACGTAAGAAGTTAGTCTTCAGGTTTACATGGCTTCTGAAGGTGGATCTCGTAGCGTAGCTAGATGATCAAGGCCCAATAGTAAATTATACTTCACGTTCATTGTGGTGGCTATTAAATATGATCACCAATACAAATAATTCTTATTGGTCATGACATGCTAATATGACCACCATTAAACGGCCGTATAAAAATTACCTGGGCTCCGGGGCCCCGAGATACAACCCCGTTTGGTCACATTTGCCCCATTAATGCGACTAAACATTAACGGATCTGAGATTGAGGAGGGCTATCATAGTTGATTAGTAGTCCTTAGGGTTATATATTGCAACATTATCCTTCTTAGTCATTGGGTGGAACGTGCACAATCCCTTAAGTAAATTTCGGTAATATTTAAAAAAAATTACACCAAAATTCAAATTTCAAATGTTATATATAAATATGACCAATTGAAAGGTTTTATTTGCGGCAACATAGAAATAATAGACATACAGCCCTAAATACATTTTTGGGACTTAATTATTTTTTTATGAAATACTTGTACCATTTATAAGCTCAACTACCTTAAATTTTGACATTGCAGCAAATAGAAACTAGGATTGCTCATACAATATTAGTTGAGTAGAAAACACGAGTGTACAAATATTAATTTTATTGTACCATCGTCGGCTAAATTCGTCATTTTTTGAGTGGGCATTAAAAACAGAATTACTAGAAATAATTTTATATGACAATCTACGATTATACCATTGTTATTTTTGTAACTAAAAAAGAGTCTAGAAATTTTAAATGCCCGATATTGCGCTTGAAGAGTAAAAAAGGGATTTGGTCCAAAAATTTAGCTACGAGGTTTTCAAATTTAGCCATGATGTTTTGACTACCATGATATTCATTTATGTTTTTGTGAAATGATTCCACTGGTTTGTTATAATTATTAATACAAAGATTCAACACAAAGATCGACTCTCCATCTGTAGCTCAGTTGCTAGAGCCGTGATCCTAGTTTGGCATACAGACGCAGGTGTTAGGTCGATGGCATTTTTATTTGTGTTCGATTTTTGTATTCATAATTGTAGAAATATTTTCGTATGAAAATAAGGTCGTGAAATTTCACTTGTCAAGGAGATTGTAGTCCACTCTGTAACGACGCCAAAGAAACTCGAGTGGATATGTAATATATTTTCGTCACTATCATCACATCGTCATCGGACCAAAGGCATTTGTACCAAATGCCGCACAGAGCATAGGCAATATTCTTTTATGACCTGCATTGTTAGTTATGTAAAGAACCGGTGATGTAAAGAAGTAGGCACTTTGATGTCGAGTGTAATTACGCGGCGCCGCAGTTGCAGTCGCCCTTGCATTTGTTTACACACTTTCATACGCGCACCGCGGCCGAGGCGGCGAGAGCTGCCGCAATTGTCTACCAATGCACGATTTCAGTTGATCACGCCACACAGGCTGTAGTCGCGCCACAAGTGTTGCAGCATGACGCCGCAACTTTTGAGGCCTCGCGGCGGAAAAAATCGCCATGTGTAATCTGCCTTATGGTGCTGTTCCACCAGCGAACTAAGACGAGACGAGGTAAAATTTTGATTTTGGTTGAAATTTCCACCAAAAACGGCGATTAATAGGCATCGCGAGCACGTGGTTGATATTAACAGCCATAGTCCACGCTGAGATTGTGGATAGTGCCAATAAATTACTTGGTTGATAAACTTTAAAGAGTCGACTGCAGGGCACTATGCAATTATTTGCAGGATAACCATTTTTTTTTAATTTTTATCCCACAATCTCTGGATTGATACAACACGGTTCAATATTACATCTACAAAATATTTCGATTTCCGCCTCGCACATCATTATCAATTCAGACAATTTCTACCGAAGATGCGATAGTAGACAAATGTCCATCATCGTCTCGCCTCGCCTGTGGAAAAGCTCCATTATGGTATATTTAAGTAGGTATATAAATAATATTAAATTTACGAAAAAAAAATGTTTGTTTTGCTACAACAGCTAGGTTATTGGGTATCACAAATAACTTTATTAACATCTAACGTTAAGAGTACAAATAACATATTTGCGCTAAATAAGATTATCATTAATGAATTAGACCAACACGGAGCCTTATCTATAACGAAACGGCATAACAGACGGTAATAATTGAATGTTATATTTTTTCCGAGATATAACGTATATTTACAAACTCAAATGTATCTGTATGAAATACAAAGTAAGTAAGCAAATTACACTCGAAATCCTTACATTGATTAAACTGTAAGGCAGATTCCTCTGAGAAGAATGCGTAAGAACCTTGAGGAGTTGCTCTTTGTAAATAAACATTTGTACACATTTATAATATTTATTCTAATATCATAGATCGAGACAATCTGACAAAGAAAGAAACTGGTCACTACCATGGATTTTTGTTATCTAAGTATGCTGTATAATAAATAACCTGGAAAGTTTTAATGTCTCCATTGTATTAAACCAAATATCAACCAGAGCCTTATTTGTGTACATAAATTAAATCTTGATTTTATTTTTACGAACTGGAATCTATATCATATTCTAGCTATTTAACCATATTTTAATAAACACGTCATCTAAGTAAAAGTTTAAGCTTGAATTACGTAATCAAACATGGTGCTTCGCAATATGAAAGTGGATAACATTATGTACCTAGTTTATAATTGTATATCTTGTTTGTACAAATACACGTTTTTTTCTGAAACTGCTTTTTATTGTTTTTATTTTGATTTGGATCTGCTGTTTATTGTAGAACTCGGATATTAAGGGCGCCTTCAAACTAGACGCTTATAGAAGCACTACAGTGGCATCACTACTAATTTTCGTACAGTATATATTAGAAGCGCAGTTGCAGCGCCACTTTCGTGACACTCACACTCTTTTTGCAATCACAATTAGTGAACTAAAGACACAATGTCTGTCTGTGTGCCCCTGCAGCGCTTCTATATAAACGTCTAATTTGAAGACGCTCTAAATATTACTAGTTGCTTAAAAGTAACTAGACAGATACTGTTTTGATCCTGTATAATTTATTATTTCTGTCATCCTGACGAACCGCCAGTTATCAGCCATCAGACTAATGGAAAACACTTGAGATTGAGACATATCCACTTAAGAAGTCATTATTCCGCTGGTATTTGTAATTTTTTAAAGAGTAATCCAGGTATTTTTATGGCGCCTTCAAATTAAACGCCTATGGATATAGGTACCACTAATCTTATTAATTTTCATGCGATACTTAGAAGAGCATTCGCAGCGGCACTGGCGGGACACGGGCGTGCCACTTTTGCAGGCAGTCACAATTAGTGAAGTAAAACGTACACGCGATTGATGCGCCACTGCAGCTTTTATGAGCGTCTAATTTGAAGGAGCTTTTAGTGGTGGACGAAATCTACAGTTACACTCTCACCTAAATACCATAAGTTAATACACTCCCGGACACAAAAATATGCATTTTTATTCCAAATAGTAAAAGTATAACGGTCGAAGTAAGTTTTCCCCGGTTTTAAAAATTCAAACTTTCATCAAGGACATCGTTTCAAAATTGCATAATAGTTTTCCATTATCACCACTAGTGCTGTTTGACTAAACTACTGGTACTTTTTTCTCATATGTTCTGTTAATAAATAGGACAGTTTTCGTCACAGAACTACTGAGAATTTTCTCTCCCACTAGTTGCCTTGAACAGTTCTGTTGTCAGAACTACTAATATTTTTCTTCGCATTTGGTCTGTTGATAATTAATCAAACATTGTTTCAAGCTTACTTTATGGCATTTAATATTGAGAATGCACGGTAGCTCGAATTAAGTATCCGGGAGTCGGTATATTAACGTCGTCGCTTGAAAATACAACGATTCAGAAAAGGAAAATGTTTAAAAAGAACAATATAATTATTAATTCTTCTTTAATTACTTGCAATCACATCAATTTAAACCACTATTTGGAACTAATCTTCAACGTCCAGGCATAGTTGCTGGCCACCGTAGCTACATCTGGGAGAGCAATTTCAACCAATTCTCCCGTTAGCTGCCACTGCAAAACAGAAGAACCAATTCGTAAAAAGATGAGAACACCTATTTAAAAATCCAATCTCGATAGTTTGTGGACTCTATTTGCCAAGTTTTGTTGAAAGTGGGTAAAATCCAAGAAACCAGATTCATCTTCTAATTTGCCTTCCCTCAGAGAGGTTTCTTCAAATTTGAATGGGAACACCAGTGAGGTAGCCCCTTTCCAAGAAAGAAAGAACTATCGAAAATGTTCACAAATGTCGGAGTAGTCGCGTTACATACAAACATAAAAAAGCAGTCTAATTGAGACCTCCTTTTTTCAATTCGGTTAAAAATAGCATTTACAGTAGCAGGCTGTATTAATTCAAATCGGAATCGATCCAATCGGGTAGCCCATCCGAGTCTCGTAATCAGATGGGTTTCCGAGCGAGAAGTTGAACCTGATTCCTACTATATCTTTCTAATTTGTGAGTTAAATCAACTATTGTTCCGATTTGAAATGTCAAAAGTTTCCAATCGGCCAGTTGTGAATCGCAATTTTGCGCCTCGACTCGGAAGAGACGCAGTTTCCGATCGGGAGAGGCAATCAAAATCAAGCTGCTGGTCTGCAAGGTGATAGACAGCCCTTGGCTTTAATATTTCCGGTGTTGTATATAGCAAGCCTTTGACAATTTTTTTGCTTGGCTTGCTTTGGTTTAAGTATATTTACTATTAAATAAAGATCTTATAAAAATATACGATACACCTAAGCAGATTATCTTTAGAATGTGCTAATTCGTTACACGATAGGATGTACTTTACCCGATCATATAAAATCTAAAAAACAGGCTAAAATAAGTCTGAAACGAACTTAAAGAACAAAATGTCTAACTTTGCACATAATTTTTATATGGAGATATTTCTCTTAAGTACTACAGCTAGAGCACCTGCTAAATTTTGGATTTTAACTGAAGACCCTATTGTTATTAACTTCACATTTCGACTAATCTGTAGAAGAAAGATCTACGAGCTTTGTTCATATACTAGGTATGTTCTCAGAACATAGTACATTTCGTTCGTTCTTGTTCGCTGTGATGCCAGATCGACCGTTGTTCGATTTATATTTCCGAAACGAAATAAGATATACAAATTCTCAAAACACCTTTACATAAGCCTTAGTTTGAGTAACGAAATTATTCTCGTAACGTACTTAACTTATTCTCTTTTCGCTATATAATCACATCGGACTGTTCTTCGGATGAGTCGATTTATCCCAAAACTTGAAAATTACCCAGAGGTTTAACGACACACGGCGAGACTCGTCAGTCGCCATTGGGCGTTTGTCAACGTAGGATCTGTCAAACTTTCTCCGCATGTTCTTCTTTTATTCATATTAATTTTAGGCGCGCGGATTGCGGGACGCGAATAGGGCGGTCCCACACACCTCACCCCCTAAAATCTAGGCTCGCGTTAAAATAGATACCTCGTTTTAAACGACAGTTCCTAAATGGCAAGGTTCAATATACCGCCGTTTATAAAAAAGGTATTATCATATTATTGTATACCTTAATTAAATGTAAACTTAATTGACGAATTAAAGTAGATATCGCACTTGACACCTAACATAGTATTGTCGCAAAAGTTGCGTTATATTATATTTTATCTCAAAATTGCGTTATATAATTAATAATTTATCTCCAAAATTTAGTTATATTTGTATGTCATACGTATACGATTTAATTTCAAAGTGACAGGACAACAATGTGGCTTTGAAATTAAATAGGTAATATTAATATAACTTAAAGCAATTTTGAGATAATACCATGTTAGTTGTCATGTGCGACATGAAAAGCTTTTCAATTTACATAGCCTCGGAACGAAAGACTTTTATATCAATTGTGTAATGTAAAACTAGATACGAGCTAAAAAACAGGTCGCGCGTCTGGAGAATATTTCTCGTGGCGGGAATTCCTGCAGCTACCGTATCGTGTTAGTTCTAACATTACAAAAATTGACATGAAGTTCATTTTGCTATGTATATACAATTCCGCTACAAAAATCCACTTCCATGCATTCCATTCTGCGGCAGTGGACATTGAATCTTAGACAGAAAGAATAGATGAATTTCTTTTATCGATATTTCAAACAAATTTCGCGCGGCCACACAAAGACCAGGAAAACACGAAAAGTCGAACAATTACACTTCCGTTTACCAAAACATGCCTACACTCTTTTGTTAAAACCTGTAGGTCTAGCATGACAGGGCGCGA